TTGCGCCTGTGTACACGCGTTGGCTTACAATAAATGCAAGCTTCTATAGTAAAAACAATAATTTCCATTTATATACATACATACGTTACATATGTACATACTTAATTTCACACATTCATATGTATAACCGGTGATGTGTGAGTATGAATTTGTTGAAGGTGTCAAAAAGGGTATTTATGCTTTTATTGATTTCGAGTAAGCAGAGAGAAATAAAAAATCTTCACATAAACAAAACGCGAAATGACTATATCGACAACAGAAAATGATCAAATGTAATACCTTTTAGGAACGAAAGTATGGATTTTGGGGGGGTTTTATTGCAAAACAAGGTGAGCCGTTGGCGCCTGGAGCCAAGGGACAGAAAATATATTTACGGAAGGATCGAAACTCGATGAGATAATGAAATTTAATGGACCGAAATAGCATTTTCAAGTGGAAGGGACTGTCATCGATGGGACGGTAATTCTACTCTTCCAGACAATAGCTTTGATCTCGTTTTCGAAAACGTCTAATTTGGTTCCTGGGTTACAACTGAATTTCTGATAAATATAAAGAGCTTGCGAAGCGAGTATCTTTAAGCCAAAAACTTCGCATGAGAATACCACTGGACTCAAAGTCAGCTTGCCATAAATTGGCAAAATATCAGAATGTACACTATCGCAAGATCGGGAAAATGATAGTCTATACATACATTCAGATTGCCTGAGCCGCATTGCAAGAGCTACAAGGAGTATGATAAATTTAAATATCTGTGAGGACTAAACACTAGTCCACGCAAAAAGGGGAATGTTTTTGACCGTCATTCACCAGGGAGTTGCCAGGAACGATTACTTTACAATTAGCCAACAATACCTCTTCCGAGGGGACTCAAATATGAACATCCCCGCTGCCGTGCGGCTTGGGACTTTATTTTTGACGACCCTTGCAAACATTTTAAGGATAACGATTTGAGGGCATGCAATAGGAACGTACGATTTGCGAATTGAAAAGATGTCGCTGCCTAGTTGCCTGATGTCCTCGTGAAAGTAAAGATCTCCGACGACGGGCATATAAATGAACGCGACTTTGGTGAGAGGTAGGCTTCGCAACCATTTCGGTATTCCTGTGTATGAACATCCAATCATAATCCACCTTAAAGCGAAGTTCTACAACAGACAATGCGCTATATGCACCACTCCCGAGGCGTTGTCAAGAGAATGCTTGGAGATATAAACACAACAGCAGGGAAATTTAGCCTTAGACATAATATTACTAAATAACCACATCGGTTTCGCCGAGGCCCAAAGCTCGGTTGCCTATAGTACCAGACTCTGGCACAAGAAAATTCATTTAGCTAGTAGCTCACGCAATTCGATCATTTTGTGATGAGAAAAAAACATGTATCCCGTGCTCTAGATGTGCATACGTTCCGAAAACCTAACAGCCACTAGAATCATTATGTTGCCGGATCGAAGATACGCATCCACCCCTATGCAGTAAAGAATTGCCACCAACAGCCACAAGGAAGGTTGGTTTCACAACAAATAGACAGTCGGTTCTCCACTTGATTTTTCACCTGTTTTTTACCATAAACTCAACAGAAATGAACTTTGGAACGGCACATCAAACTCCCTACGTAGCGCCGCTATAGAAAACAATTGTTTCTACAAGTTTTCGACAAGTTCCACAGAGGAGCTGGCAGGGTAATGTGTGGGTATGTATTTTATTCTCAAATCATACCCATTAAAAAATTTCGCTTGTTAAAATTATTTTTCCTCATTATGTACATAATATATGGATGAAATTCTTAGCAAAGTTGGCGGTAATCTCTCATTTGACACTGCGTTTAATAGTGGAGTTGGCAGACAAGGTCCAACGGAGCTTTTGAAATCGTTTGAATAACTCTCGATTTTCAAAATCCTTACGGGTTTTTTGAGGGGGTATGAAAAGCCTTATGCATTAACATTCTTGATATAAACATGTGAACAGTCGGGAACAATCTTACCAGACCGGTTTTCCATTGGGCTTTGAAATATATAACGCCACATTTACTTGGCAGTAATTCTCATTTTTCACTCACCAAATAAAATAAAAGAACTCAGGCAAACATTTTACCTTTGACTTAATGTGAATTTTTCCACAAATCTCCACGACGCCTTGCACTCGCTGCTACCTCAAGTTTTGGGACGAATGCTTATTTTGATTCTAATTTTAGATGGAGTAAGGGGACAAATTTAATGCTTTATTTTTCGAAAATATCACTTCTGCTTTCGACTTTTTCATTAGAAATAGGGAAAGTGGCTATTTATGTGCATATACATACATATATATTTATATATGTATATTTTTAATTGTGTATATGTGTAGTACTCAAATGGATTTAAAAATGGTCATTCGAGCTCTAAGTGTTGCATAAGGCACTCCTGTGTACATACATATATAGATGCGTTTGAAAATTTATGTTGCATTTACATAAATGCATATAAGTATGTATCATGTACGAGAATACACCTATATCCATATAAATCTATGTATTCACTTACTACTACTCAGAAGATAACTTCCTGAACTATAAATGTTTCTAGCACAAAAAACATAAACGAGACCAGAAATAGAGATTAGATCTGAGTGCACCAAACCCGCTAGTGTCAATTTGAGAATGATCCATTTGTTAGAATTCAAAATTTTTGAGGCGAGAAACCTTTGGTTAAATTTTCAACACAAAACATTCACCAAAAACATCTAGCAAACGGATAATGTATCATACAATTTGTATAAATTTCAGCGTTCTCTCATTATTTCGTATATTATTCTATAGGAAAAGTGCGGACAATAGTAAAAGCACAGTTAGAGTTGGGAAGGACCTTTATGAACCAAACCGAGGTATCGTGTATTTTCTTCAACTTAATGCAGGAGAAAGTAATCAGTGCTGCAGAGCTTAACAGATAAGGTACAAGAGTTTACAGCTCATGGTGTATGAATATGATCTTCGGCTTTAATAACCACTGTAGCTCTGCATTCTACAGAATGGACAAAGAAGCGAAGTTCATGGGTTTCGATATAAAAAAAGGAGAACGAAATGTCTCCTGTCATCTAACAAATGATCTGTGCACTAGCGTCCTTTCCTTCATGTCACTGTGGACAGACACAGCTCTGGAGTCGCAAATAATTTCAACTTCCTAATTTTCGTTTATCTATATGGAGCGGAGGCCTGGACGATGACAAAATCTGATGAATCGGCGCTAAAAGCTTTTGAGAGAAAGTTTTTGTGAAAGATTTATTTGTTCATTTTCTTTTTAAATACTTTATAGCATATACAAAGCATACCATCGTCTCGTTCGTTTATACAACTACAGCGGGTTAGGGTCTGAGTGACTAGAAGTTGCACTCTTAGATTTGGGAACAAGCAACCAATTATCTTTCTGGTTTGAATCTGGAATAAAATTACTCCAAATTATTTCAAAAACGAGAAAATTTCACCAATGTACAGTTGTGTTCAGAAAAATAGCAGCAGCATATTATTTATTTACTTATGGAAAATTAAAGACATTTTTAAGTAAAACCTTAGCCCATAAGGGAGCTATATAGTGTCATTATATATTAATTTTACAAAAAGAATACGAAAATTTTGCTTGCTCACAAAACTAGCAGCATTTCAATTATGTGACAAACACTTTAAAAAATATGGTTATAATTTGTGTATGGAATTACATTGATAATTTAATATTTAGTGGTTTGACCACAGTTTTTTATTACTGCAAAGAATCCACGTTGCATGGAGTCGACTAAGCTTTGACACCATTTGACTGGTATTGAATACCCACAAGCATCACTTATTTTCTCTCATAAATTCTTACTTATCTTAGGTTCTTCATATCTCCCCACAGATTCTCAATAGGATCGAGATCCGAACACTGAGACGGTCAATCCATCATTTCGATATGGTTTTGCTGGAACCACCACTTTGTCCGCTTGCTTGTATGCTGATATACCGATTTCAACGGCATATTGTCCTCAGAATATGACAGCATAGTACCCTCAAGAATTTATATACATAAAAATTGATCCATGATTTTTAGTATTGGATATAAGGGCCCTACGACACAGTATCAGAAAAACACCTTGTGTGTCAAAGTTGTACTTTAAATTGTCTTTTATTTTTCATAAGTAAACTAGTAAAACAATAATATGCTGGCAAAATCTATTCTAGAATGCTGCTATATTTCTGAACACAACTGTATATTTGATTTTTGTATATATGGACAGTCTTGAAAAAATTCTAATGAATTCATGACATAATTCAAAATTACTAAACTGTATTTCAAATTTTTATTAGAGCTGCATAATTAAATGAATTTTGACCCAACAGCAAGTAGCACAACTATTAGATTAATGAAAGTTATGCACATACATATTTCATTAACAAACTTTGCCAATACCAAAGGGAAGTCATGATATTAGAGCTCCAAATTCGGCTAAATCAACTTAGCTCGTCATACATACATATATATATATAGATTTCGAAGGGTTATTCCCTTTATTTCTTTTTAATTCTCAACTCTTTGTCGCTTTTAAATCAAATTGTAATTCTTCATATTTAACTTTATTTCTCGCAGTGTATACAACATCACTGCAAGATCGCTCATTGCATTTCATGCTACTTAAATATGAGTATGTACATACATATATTCTCACTCATTCTTTTACTTTCGAATATTCGCTCAACTTCAATATCTCATAGCCGTGCGGTGTGTCTGCAGCTCTCAATCAAAAACAAAAACAATGAAATGTGCTCATCTCCACCACCCAACCCAATGCATACACATATGTATGTCGGTATGCATGTATATAAAAATGTGTGTGGAGACCGAAGACGCATATCAATATATATATGTGTAGGTTTCGATGTATGTGGAGTATGTACTCGCCCATAATATGACGCATGTGGCGTGCGGCGAGCTCTGCAGCGCATATCTACTTTTTGCCGGCAACCGGCGAATGCTTCTTGCTGGCACAGCGCATTCCACACACGATCAGTTCAGTTTCGTACGCCGAGTTGTCACCAAGTGCTTCGTCCACGTTTTGTTTTGTGCTTTGATCTAGAATTCAGTAGAAGTATAACCGAAATTTCTACTGTGCGCAGGATACACTCCCAGTTGTGTACATATTTACATATATATATATATATATATATATAGTATATTTGAAAGTCACAAGCGGGCGTGTAATCTTAAACTTAAGATATAATTCAATTTCATTTGCAAGAGCCACGTGAAAGGATTTTCACTAAATAAACCGTGTTCCTGCAAAAAAAAACCCAAAAACCGAAAAAAAATTCACGGTTAAACGCGAATTCGCGAAACTCGTATAAAAACTAGAAAACAGAAACTCACTAAACAAAATGAGGGAAATCGTGCACTTGCAGGCCGGTCAATGTGGCAATCAAATTGGTGCTAAGGTAAGTGGGAATTTCTTGAAATTCGATCGATCGATCGATCGCTCGCTCAATCGACTGATTCAACTGCAGCGCAAACAAACTTGCAAACGATCGAGCGAGTTTCCTTTTTTCGCATTGTCAGCGGCGATCAAAATATGAACAAAAAAAAAAAAGAATCAATTTTTGAAAAAATGCCTTGCATTTTAATTTCGGTCAGGCAAAGTTTAGTTATTTGTTTGATTCTCTTTTCAAATTTTCGCAGCATTTTAGTTGCACACATTGTGGACGGCTGCTTTTTTTTACCGTGTTCGTTGTGTTGTTGCTTTTATAAGTTGATTATTGATTTATTTTTCATTTTGGCGCTGTTATTTGATTTGCAGTGCCTTTCGGCTGCTGCTTGGCGAATTGTAGAATTATTTCAGTAAAACTGCGTTTGCGAACTTTTTGGTGAATTGGAAAAAATCCAGTTTTGTCAGCGGGTTTCCTTAGCAATTTCCGAAATTGTCAGTGGTGGGCAAGAAATAGGCAGGCGCGCACTGTTGACTGTTGGAACAATACTTTCATGCGTATATGTGTATGTACTTAAGTATATTTTCTGCTGCATACTGTGGATTTTTGGTTGGACGTGCGTAAATGCTTTTGCGTTGCAATATTGATAATGACGCTGATTGATGATCTCAACGGTTGGAAAATCAATGTCAGGGATTCTTGCACACAATCGAAAAATGGCTTGACAGCATTTTTGAAATCGCAACGAGTTGACCTTTAATTAGCTATAATTAAATAATTAGAAGATGTGTATGAATAGTTTCTCGTTAGTAGTTAGTAAAAAAAATTTCATGACATTTCCTAAAGCGTGAAACAAATATAATTTTTAAACTTTGTTTGCCAATTATAAATATAGAATAATAAAGATATAAAATCTTCTATTTTGACATACATATGTGTGTATATACATAAATAAGGGATATATTTGTACATACATACATACATACATATATTCAATATCATCTACATTCATCTAAATATGTAAGTGGCTTTACTCATCATTATAAACTTAAATAGAAAAAAATTAAAATAAACAATTGGTTTGGCAATTGAATGCCTAAAATTGAATTTAACTGTTGGTTATTTGCTTTCACAGCTTCCTCAAAAACAAACACATTTGAAGGCATGTATTATAGAAATCTTTCAAATACATATGTATGTATGTATGTATATCTTAGAATTCATATTCTGAAGTACACAAATCGAGCGATATTTCTTTAAATTGTGTACTTAACTCATATGTGAACAAACGAAAGATTTCTTTGTTGTTTGTCTGGAAATACACATACATACAAGTAATCTTAAATACCCTGCAAAAAATGCGATTAGTCCGGATTGACTATGGCATCCAAATGCAAAAAAATTCTAATGGAATTGACATATTTCAAACAAATGAATTGAAAAAGTACACATCTTTTCTTATAATAACATACTTTACGCTTAATTTGATTATATTTAAAAATCGGAAACAACCACGCCTCTTTAATTAAATTTATTTTTTTCCTGAGTGACTGTATTGTTTGAGCTGGTCCTCCATTTCCCTGCAATAATATTCAGTACCGCCAACCTGTGTCTGTCGTACAACTTCTCTTTTCTATTCGACATTTGACTGTAAATTTTTTTGTAAATTTTTATATGCGTAAATATATAGCAATTAAAGTACATTTGCAAGTTAAAAAAATTAAAATCCATCATAAAAGCAATTAAGAATCGATCCTGTGTTAGCGCAGTTTAGATCACTCTTAGAACACTACCAGTGATTTTTTATAAAACTAGACAATTTCCTGTAGGAAGGAAAAGGCTAAATTTTTTAACAAAAACTTTGTATACAAATTGAGATAAAGTAAAAACACTATAGGTATCTAAGGAATAGTTTTCTTGATCTTGAAGTCTTAAACTATCGTCAAGCTGCATAAAAGGGATTATGAAAAAGGATATTTTATTTATTTCTTTAAACGCATTTAAACTGTAGTTTTATAAAATTGATGACCTTTTTTAAGTGAAATATTTTATTAATGTAATTAAAAGATAAAAGCGATCTCTCTGATATACATTTTTTTGAGTATGCAAATTACTTAAAAAATTAGCCCAAATGTTTCCTTTACAGGTCTATTCTCACTGTTACCAGTAAAGAAAATTTTGTTACTTTTTTTAGCACCCGAAATTGAATTTGGTATTCCGTCGTACTGGTTACAATGTTTGGAAATACTGCATTTCTCGTCCTTGTCAAATTACATTTACCAGTTAAGATTGTAAAGTAAAAATGAAGAATATTCGCATCGAAATGGCAGACGGTGCACAACAAAGTAAAAAGTTTTATTTAAAATTGTTTATTAAATTTTGGAAAATATGCCTACGCAACAAAAAAAGCTTAATAAGAATTAAAAGGGCCATTTGTTTCTCGCAAGCTTTTTAGGTTATGCCTTTTTACACTTTTTTCTTCATCTACAATGAATTCCAGGCCTAAAATATGCCTACCCATTTTGGCTATTTATTTTTTCTCAAACTTACAACACAAAATCAAACAACAGATATGTTTGTTACCTCCTATTTCGCTGATAACAAAATTTACAGAGTGACAGTGAACTCAGAATACGAAATAGTAACAAAAATTACTGAATGGTAAGTTTTAATACCAAAGTAAACTTTGCTACCTCAACAGAATAAGAATGTTAATGAGATTAGCTTAAATGGTTTTATTGAGCCTCAAAAATTTCCTTTTAGAACTAGGTTAACAATGTCGAATTGAACCCGCTCACTACTGACCCAGGATTGGTCCCATTTCGAATTAGTCATATAATTTTATTGGTAATTTTTGTTATATAAAACAGCAAACCTCTTATCGTATTGACGCTGATACTTATACATACAAGTATATACAGATGTGCTATAAAACTAAAAATCGTTTCTTAACTTGAGATGATTAATTCGCTAAATATGAAATAAAAACGACTTTGATGTGACTAATGCTTATAAATCATTTAAGTAAGCATAGTATTATTTACTCTTAACAATGTGTACATATTATATTATATATTTATATACTATTTTATATATTTGATTACTTTTGTTTTACTTATGAAGCGACAAATTTTTCAGATTAATTTTTTATCATATTACAAGCATATAGTGTGTACATGTAGTAGATGCCTACAAAACATTAAGGGAAAATAGTCCACACATTGGGTGCTGCTGTATTGTGATGTTTCTTGATTACTAGGAAATGTATGTACCGCTTTTTATCTCGAAAGAAACAATAATAAGAAATATCTCAATGTACAGCTTGAGCAGCGCTTTGATAAAAATTCTGGAAATGTATTAAAGATCAACAAACTCTTTGTATACATATTTTATCATGGGAAGGTCAATGTTTTTTTTTGTTCACGAAGTGATGAAATATTGAGAATAAAGCGCAATCGAAAATTAAATGAGAAAGACTTATTAGAAAACTTTAATATCGAAAGAAATTTTAATTGATTTTTTTTTCACATGAAATAATTAATTCGAAATGTTTTTACATTGTTTCACTTTCGATTCCCCCCACATTTAAGGATCATAAGATCGCTTAGTTTAATAACACAAACCGAAAAGCATGTATTATGGAGCAAAACAGCATATCCAGCAAAAAATAATTTCTTATTGCTACCTATTTGTGGGCTTCAATCTTTGATTTTACAGTCTAAATAACTAAGTTTCCTTTGGCGAAAATAAGTACCAACAGTGCATAGTTTTGATGAGGGTAAATAAGTTGTTATATAGTATATGTTCATAGGCTCAGAAGGTCTTAAGATATCGAGCTTTTCTTAAAACTAAAAATTATTAAAATTCACATGAAACCTATCAGCTATTCGTTTAGCTGTTCTAAAATATCTTTTGGTCCAAAATAGTTACAAAATTTTTTAATATTTTTTTATATTTAGAGAGAGTAATTTTTGGGCAAGAAACTTTAAACATTATTAGAATAACAAGAACATAAATTTCTAAGAGATCAAAATGTGGGCACTCCATATCATTTTATCTAACGAAATGAAATATGCATTTACTTATCTAAAGTGATAAGTTGTTTTTGTTGTAATCTTCTCAAACATATTTGTATTAGAAATTATCTCGTTTCTTCGAGAGATTATATTGTATGATACGGTATTGTCGATTTGACCATTTCTTTTTTTATCTGCTCGACAGTCTTACATTTCCTTATCTAACAATTGATATACTACGTATGCACATATATATATATATATATATATACATTTTGTATATATGTATAATATTTTTAATAATTACTTAAGTGTAAGTATATTTATGCAAGACATATGGTCTGTCAAATGCTGAAACTTCAGTTTCTAAACAAAAAAAAAAAAAAAAATATTTTGATGTTTAGCGACGTAATCGAAAACCTCTGCAATTTGAGAAACCATATCGCTGAACTAACTGAGTAATTCCTCTGTATGAATATGTGTGAATACATAATATATAATATATCAATGTGCATATGTACATTGGGGTAGTCAATTTCGTACAAAATACTTTTTTAATTGTGGTCTTGCAGCGCTTGTAATGCGTACTTTCTTGTCTCAAATATGAAAACTATATTAAAATACATTATTTTTTGTTATTATTATTCTTCCATGTTTGTGTAGAATTCGAATATAAAATTGGAAGCAAAATAGGTTAGCCCTAATATGTAAATTTACTTCACTGTAAGTTCGGTTTCAAGTTACAGCAGCAAAAGATATTGACATTTGAGTATATAATTATTGAATCCAGCGCATGCAGTTACTCACAATCAACAATCCTCTGAAAACGTCGGCTGACAAGATCCACCTTATGAGAATTCCAAGTACATATATACTAGAACGTAAGTGAAAACTCATCACTGCACGGTTTTTACGTAAACGGAGTGCTTAATCTACGGATAATTGCAGCATAAGACGATAGCACTGTATTGTTGGAAAGGCAGAGGTGCATCTACA